GAAAGAAAGGACGCAATGAAAGGCGAAACGCCATGGGGAGAAGCTCTCTTTCATCCATGGATTTCTTATCGGGAAACCGCAACGAAGTTGACTTAGCGAACTGAAACATCTAAGTAGCTAAGGGAAAGCACATCAACCGAGACTCCGTTAGTAGTGACGAGCGAACGCGGATTAGGCTCTAAATACCATCATCCAAGCAAATTAGAAAAGATAGGAAAGTCTTGCCAGAGAAGGTGATAGCCCTGTATATTTTGTCCAATGTTTTTCATTTCAAGAAGTAAGTGAAACGCGCGCCGTGTTTGAACTCTGTGGGGGACGGAAATCAACATTTATTGTGGGATTTAGGGCACAGTTTAGATTTATCAAAAGTGTACACTTCCGGAACTATTATGTTCTTTTTTTTTGCAGCTTGTCTAGTTACATTGAATATCTTGAGATTCTCTTTGTCGTAAAAAAAAGTGTAAACGAATGTGAAAGCTAATAGAGAAAGATTGGCACATTGGCTTCATTATAAGGAATCATGCCAATAAGATTACAAAATAACAAAAAAGTAAAAGTGACAAAGCTGAAAGGAAAAAACCATTGTTTAACTGCTGGTACACCACTATCAAAGTGATTGAACATCAATGGTATTGGATTTATGAGTATATTCAGATTATAATACTTCTGATGAACAATCACTTACTTTTGATAGTTATATGATTCCAGAGGATGATCTAGAATTGGGTCAATTAGCCATATATATATATAGACAGTTATTCATTGACTGAAGTCAATGAATCTAAGTTAATTGATTCAAACAACCACATAAAGAGTGAGTTGGGTACAACATATAAACAAAAAATTGCTGAGATAAAGAGACTTTTTCTAAAGTAGTACTTTTTTTATATCCATGTGATTAACCAAAGTATACTGATATTGACCATATAATAAGACTAGATTCTTTTGAGGCTCGAGTACGTTGTGTACGTCGTTTTGATTCTCTACCATGACGAATTAATTGATTCATTGTAGGCATATGTGTGGTTTTGTTTTTTGTTAATTAAATTAATGCAACTGACAGGCTTCGGTAGTGTGACCCGCCTGACCTATATGATATATATATATATATCTTTTTTAATTTAAGACGGAGCCTACGACCGGACTTGAACCGGACGCCTTTCCCTTACCAAGGGAATGCTATTAGAAGTAGATAATCGAGTGGTTGTACCAGCCAAAACTCGTTTACGTATGATTATAACATCTGCTGATGTACTTCACAGTTGGGCAGTACCTTCCTTAGGTGTCAAAATGTGATGCCGACCAGTACCTGGATTTGCACTGCGCGGCAAAAAAAATATGGACCTCCAGCGGCACACTTTTCCGTTTCGAGATTGCACGTAGTACCGTTCATCGAAGAACCAGGACTGTCCAAATTTTGACTCTTACGTTCGCCTGGGCGAGGTGCTGGTGGTTTGACGCAAAAGTTTGTCGAAACGTGGGGAGACGAAGGGAAGAGGGAGGGAAAGGGGCGCAGAAGCCCCATAGGGCTTGATTTCTATTCCATATGGTCTGCCAAGTCACGATCCCAAAATTGACCAGAGGCCAACCCCATCAGCCTCCATGATCGACCAGTGGATACCCCCTTCCTTCTCCAATGTAATATTCACTATTTGATTGCTGCGAGGTTGGGCCAGCCAGAGGGGTGATGGTCCTGAGTGGTAGACACTAAGGTAGGACTGGGAGAGAGTTTGAGGTAGGACTGGGAGAATTGAAGAGAGGAGGGTGGGAGGGGGGCTCACAAGGGGTAAGACCCAAAAACAAAATGATGGAGTGGAAAAGAAAAAAGAAGGTTGCACCAGCCATCCTGAGATGTAAATTCCATGTCTGCCGAGGTGTGCGCGAGCAACTGGTAGAGGCGGACGAGGAAAGCAACAGCCAGACAGGAGGATCCAGCCAAGAAGGAGCTGGAGGAGAACCACAAGCAGAAACCGAAGCAAGACAGAAACCAGAGGAGAAGCACAGGAGAGGTTAAGACACCAACAAGGAGGAGGACGAGGAGGTCTAACTGGGTGTGAACTGGGAGCAGCTGGGAAGGTGGAAGAGATGGAACAGCAGCAGCAGCAGCATGATAATGGCATGCAGCATGCCGCAGAAGATCAGAAGCATGAGACAGTCAACGAGGGCAATCACACCAGCAGGAGGTATTTGTGAGTCGGATGAACCTGACCGGCCGGACAATTTACCAAAAGGCTGATGCTGCTGACACAGTTTTCTGTCGATGAAGGCAAAAGCAGCTACTAGAACAAGATCATGAGGTATGAAGGAACGTTAGGAATGGCTCCAGGAGGTAAAAAAAAAATGTATACCTATGGTATACCTGGGATGTACCTAAGGGCTGCCTAGGATGGTACAGCCTAGGTCGCGGTAAATGTACTTGGGACGTCTGTCGAACCCAGGTATGCATGTACATTGTAGATTGCTCACGGCGTTGCCCACCAGGCAACAATGATGTAATTGCGAGCTTTTCAAGGAGGAGGCCACAGCGCGGTGTTGTCGTCTTATCGACCCATACCATCGACATCGGGAAGTTGGCTGTTGACTCGGGGTCAGGCGGCTCAGGCCCCATGGTGCTATGTGCGTGCTTGGAACGCATGAGCCTCGTTGTAATCACAGTCATGGTCTTGTGTTGTTAGCATGAACAAAAACCGGTAGGGCCTGGCCGTAGTCAGTTTTGCCTCCAAGTCAACAGATGCCCATCTACAGCAACCAGCGCATGTTGCTGACTGGCACACACATGTAGCATGTAGTACACAGGTCATGAACTGGAGTGCTGATGATCAATTTATTTTGAATTTAATAACAAAAAAAAAAAAAAAAAAAAAAAAAGGAAARAAAAACAAAGAGTGATTTTAGGGGCTATTCCCTTAAACCAACAGTACTTCTGAAAGTTCCGGGCCGCGTATACGAGGCACGGCGTGCTGGTATGAACGGGCCTGAGGCGCTGGTATAAATTCATTCAAGCGGAAACGGCGTGGCACTGAAGCAATGGCTGGCTGGCCTTATACAAGCCGCGACTTCCGGAAGTACCCGTGGTTTAAAACAAAAAAGAACAACGACAGAATGTTCTACGGGTGGCATCTGCACACAGCAAACGAACAGTGAGGATCTCTCACTGCAAAGCTACACCTATCCATGCAGCAAGTTCTCATATACTTTCGTTGTACTTTCCAATTCTCTTAAAATCAACGTCTAGAAGAGTGAGACTCCGGCGATATTTCGGTTCATGGTTCGAGTCAATGGGGTTTGAACAGTACAGCGGAAAGGTAGCGTCGAACATGGGAAGGCAAAAGGCATTGTGAAGTAGGTGCGTGCAACAAAGGCAGTAAAGAGAAAAAAGATCAGGAGGGCTTGAAGTCGAAAAAGTGCTGTAAAGAAACCAGAGAGCCCCAAGTACAAGCTGGAAAAATAGAGAAGCAAAATATACACATTGTTAGGGCTCACCTCATGGCCAACCAACGATGAAGTGCCAGTGACATTGCACTTCTAACTCTCGCGCCGCTAAAAGAACACCAAAACTTTTCATTAACACTAGAAAAACCTTTGCAGGTGCAGTAACACTAGAAAACCTTTGCAGGTGCAGTAACCTATGTATAAATGAACTACCAGTGGCAGAACACTAGATGCAAACATGCATCCCATAACCCATAATAGCACTAAAGCTATCGACACACGATAAGTCACGTGACCACTATCGTCGCCCAAGGGTTGGGAAAAGACAGCAGCGAAGAACCTGCAGCCCAACATACTCATGGTGTCACCCTCCGCTTGCATAGGAACAAATGCCCGATAGCTCAGGATTGCTTTCACATCCGTTTGCACAAAGAAACCTGTTTCCTTCTGCACTTCTGACGAATTGTCACAAACGAACTCCAACTTTACAGTGCCCTGAAGAATCGAGAGGATTCCAGAGGCAGTTCCTCCTCAACCCAATGGACAATATGAAACCCAATAAAGATGATTCCAAGCACCATACCACTCACAGCCTCCAGAGATCCTAGCATCTGAGCTGAAGCCGGGAAGTCAAGAAGCTGCAACTAGCGATTCGCATATCCCTTCCTGTAGTGTATGTAGTAGTACTGATGACTCCTCTAGTGGTGTGCGTGGGTCTCACACCCAGCAGGCATTGTCTGCAACAATCCATATGTCACCTACATGAACAGAAACAGTGCTAACTTGTTTGGAAGTGCTTCACATCGCACAAAAAAAGCTCATGTGTCAAAGTATGATGTGTACTCCACTTCCCGGTTAGTTGTTTGCAGCATCGATAGTAAATAGCTCCAGATGCTGAATGCGCTATACCCACCCAGAGAGGGCAAAGATCCCGTATGAAGCTTTCTGCGATGGCGAAAACGTTATGATATGAAAGAGCAGAGCTCTCAGGCGAGAGCTTCAGGGAAGAAAAAAAAAAAAAAAAACAAGCAGCATGCTGCACAAGCAAGCTACAGATGACCCAGCAGCTTGGCAGCTGCCTAAAGGGCTCACTAGATGACACCATCGTCAGCATCCCCTATGGACAACAGCTGCACGAGATCATAGCTTCATCCGTGCATAAAATTCCGTGGAAGGAAAGCGGACAGACAATCACAGTCAAAGTAGACTGGCTGGAACATATAATGATGCCCACGCACTCCTCGCTCGCCCCACAGAAATTCCAAGCGGGTAATTGTCCCTCGCCCTGATCCCTGAGGAACAAAGAATGGGCCCAAAGTGGGGGGAAAAGAGCTGAACTACTAAAAGTTGCTGAAAGCAAGAAAACGCAAAAAAAAATAACTAAAAATGCGGTTACAGAGAAGAGCATGTAACAGGAAAGGTTTGCACCCCAACGGGCAACGTCTTCATGCAGGTGTCAATGAACTGCAAAAACAAGCAAGTACTTCAGACTACGCAAAATGTACAATGTACAGAAATGTGATGGAGAGGGTTCTTGCAAATACAGTAAGAGGGATGACCTCATTAACTACACAAGGCGCCTTGTGGATCCGTCCTCGCCATGTTCGAGAGAATGGAATCCAGTGTGGTGTTGATCCCACGAAGCGTAGACAGCAGCATCTGGTGCCCAGCATCTACCAAAGAGTCAGCCTCACGAACAACCTGCATTTGCTCAAGCACCACGTCCTGAGAATCAGCGACGAGATCAGTTTCCCTTTGTGCCGCCATGGCATAGGCACTTGTGAATGCCTCTCCTCCGCCCAGCACCGCTTTCGTGAGATCGCTGATTGCGGTTGCGATTGACGATGGGCAATTGCTGCCCGCATCAACTGCAGGACGGGTCCCACTGTTGGGCCCATCCCCCTCATCACCAGCATTCGGACTGGAACTACAACATCCCTGACCTTCCACAGCTGCGGGAACGGAAGGGATAAGGTCCATGGGGGCTACCTCTACCTTGATACGCCCACAATCCTCCGTTTCACCTTTCACAAAATCGTCCGTGGTGTCACCAGGAGAGCCCTCGCCAGCACAGAGGGCAAGAGTCGTTTCTGCCTTTAGACCACATTCGTCGACGGATGTGAAAAACTCCTCCATCGCCTTGTACACCCTTGGTTCCATTTGGAAGGGCATGTTCAACTCCTTCCTCTCGCTAAATGACATCCTCCAGAACGAAGGTCTCTCTGAGGAACAGTTCAGTCGGTACACTTCATGGCGATAAATTTTTCTGAAGCAGCGGGATAAATTCTCCCATCGACGAGCGCAATTTGACACATCCCTGTGAATGCCCCAGGATTTCAACTTCATCACGATGAGTGCCCATCTCTCCCGCGCTGGCCGCACCAGCCCTCCATGCTGGTTGGCACGCTCATTTGCCTCCTCCTGCTTTGCACGAACGAGAGCCAGGGTTTCCCACAAGCCCCAGTTAGTTGAGCGCAACACATCCCGGCTCAGACCATGGCGTCGCCTCACAGGCCCAAGAGAAGCTTTATCCAAGGAGGTCCACGATATAGGGGTAACACACTGGCCCGCTTCTCGTGGGTTGGCTTCAGGGCTCGCCTCAGGGCAACTCTTCGAGAAGATAAGAGTGGCATCGAGCTCCTGATGATCGGTGTCAAATAGTTTTTCACTCCCTGGCTTTGTGCATTGGATAGTGTCGTTACACGGGAGGTCAAAATCTCTTACACAGTCAGAATCACAACAAGTGTTCCTCCTACGCAGTCTTCTCCCCCTCGTCCCTGGGTTGTTCATTATCATTTCAAGGATCAGTGTTTGCCGCTCTAAGCCCGGCTTCTCCTTCACTGCATCCTCCCCGTGATCAACTTGATCCTCTACAGCGGAAGTAGTGGCACAATCTATTTTGTCGTTGTATCGGCCACAATCATTTCTGCTGCCAGATAAAACTGCTTCCTTGGCGGCTCCAGCATTCCCCTGCACCTCCCTCCTCCTGACACTGTTTAAGACACAGGCAGCCTCTGGAGACCCACCGAGTTCCGCATTGCACACACCACCTTTACTCTCATGCAGGCTCCAGTCCTCCTCTTCATCGCTATACAATGCCTTGGCAGCAGTCTCTTCACACACCCATTGGTTTGTGCATTCGTTGCCATCAAGCACAGCGAGTCGGAGAATTGACGAGGGAAATTCTTCTAGCTTGATATTCCCATCTGTTGCACCTCTCACATGATGATCCGCATCGACTTTCATCTCGCAGACTGCACACAGAATGCAAATCCAGCGATCCAATTACATGTGGTGCACATCTGGAGACCATGTTTCAGAGGCATCCTCTGTCATATATATCAATATAAATTGTCAATCTTTGAAAGGATGTTTGAACTGTCACTGCAGACACAGCCATTCTCAGGCAACTGGAATAGAATGATGACCATTCTGAGTGGAGAAGCACCAGCAATCAATGTGGTCACTTAGCGCTGGGCAACAAAGAGAGGCCTAAGAGAGATGGTCCAGCAATATATCTTACACCCATGATGAGCTTAGCACGGTATTAAATAGATGCATTCTGTGAAAGGCTGCAAGGCTTTATAAGGTAACCGAGGCCTGAAGCAGCTCGCCCACGAAGCATTGGGACATTGGAACTACAAGGCACTTCAACGAAGGGGCGGCGGGGGAAGGGTGTGTGTGTGCGTGCCCGTGTGTGTGCCGGAAGGGAGGGCGGGGGGAAGAGGGGGGGCCATGAGGGGGTGTAACCAGCTTGTTGGAAAACACAGCAACTGCACGCTGTCCAAGACTGTTGTGAATGCATCTTACCGCCATAACAATCAATTTCAGTCAATACGCTACTGCATGAGTTTGGCGTCGTTCACGTCACCCGGCACGCAAAGCCTGAACCACCACTACTACTGATCAATCCTACCTTACAGAACCGGCCAGCCTTTCTAGCTACAAGTCAACAATTTGCCCAACTGGTCAGCGAGAAATTGATCATCAGTATCCATTCTGGCCTCATCTCATGGGGGAGATCCGGTGCGTTGGTGGTTTTGTGGCTGCCACAGACCAATCAGTACCAACAGAGAAGCACGCCCAATCTCTCTCCCCTTGCTCGGACAAGGCTGATGGGTTTTCCATATCCTCCTTTCCCTGTCAAATTGGATCGTCACTCTGATTATGCATTATTCGCTTGCCTGCCAAGCTAAGTCTGTCATTGGCATGGAGGCAAGCATCGGTGGTGGTGCCAGATGATTTCCCCCCAAAAAACACAAAACAAAGTCTACCATTGGCATGTTAACACCGGCAGGGCGCTGCCAGATGTCAATTGCATGCCAAGCCAAGTCTGTCATTGAGACAGGCAAGCATTGGTAGTGGTCTACTGACTATACGGCGCTTGTGGCTCAAATTTATCAGCTGGTAATTGCTGACTCAATTTTGAGAACCAGTTGATCGTCAGTGTCCCTCCCGGAGTCATATTACCAGGATTACCACGCATGATTCATAGGAGTATACTAGGAAGGATATGTCCGAAACAACCTCGATAAGGTTTGGCCAGTCCATGGAAGATCTCCGACCGTGTCTCCGAGATGCAGTTGAACGGGGAGTTCACCGCTTGCGGTGAGAGACTATGTACTTGTATTCGAACATGTGCATATTCGATACTTGTATTCAAACATGTGCATATTCGATACTCGTATTCAAACATGTGCATATTCGATACTCGTATTCAAACATGTGCATATTCGATACTCGTATTCGAACATGTGCATATTCGATACTTGTATTCAAACATGTGCATATTCGATATTTGTATTCGTATTCGATATTTGTATTCGTATTCGATACCTGTATTCGAACATGTGCATATCGGATACTTGTATTCGAACATGTGAATATTTGAGACTATGTACTTGTATTTGAACATGTGCATGAACCAAAAAAAAAAAAAAAAAAAAACTACGATTCGCATGTTGACACTGGCAGGGTGCTCCCAGCTGTCACCTTCGGATACGAAAACTCGGTGGAAACAAAAAAAAACTTCCCAGCTTTACCCCCTCTCTCTCACACTTGACCCTCTTTCGGCAGCCAGCTACCCAAAAAATTGCTAGAGTTAGCACCAAGTTTCGCACTCACCGAGATGATAATCACATATGATTCCTTCCCAATTTGCCTCTCCTCTTACCCCTCGCTCTCGCACTTGACCCCCCTCCATCTTTGACCCTCCTTCGGCAGCCAGCTACCCAAAAAATTGCTAGAGCTACCACCACACTTCCCACTCATCAAGACAAGATCCCCTCATCTCCGCTCCGGTTACATTCTGGACTTGTACACTATTGAGTCTTTTGATACTTCCAAACACGAAGTAAGAGCAGCAGAATACGCTGGGAACTCTCTGAGCACGAGGAGAAAAGTACAGGGGAGAACGCCACGATGAAATATTGAACAAGCGTTTACAAATGGAAAGAATAGTAGTTATGGATCCATACGCCTTCTTGCCTCAGACCACCTCCGTGCACGCATGGATTCAAGCCGACGCCCTTGGCAACAAGAGCCCAGTCTATTAAAACCACTACATCCAGGACATGATGTTAACCCTCCAGTCCACGCCCCCACCCTTGCCGAAAACGAACTCGTCGCTCTCTGACTACGGTTTACCACTACAGCCAAGTCTCTTGATGAGTCGGTGAAACTCCGCCAGCCGAAACAGTCTGTTACAGCCCCTCATTTGTTGTCCTTGTCTCCCTCTCTGCCTACGGTTTAGTGGGCAGCTCTGTTTGACGATATAATATATATATTGTCACATCACTACAAACTAAAAGAGCGCACTTTGCGGAACAAAGAATAAAAGCAAAAAACGGGCACAGTGATAACATGCAAAAATAAAAATAAAAATAAAAACAAAAAGAAAAAACAAGGGCAGATTGAAACCATTAAATTTCTCATTCTTCTTTGAACTCCACCTCCACTGTGCCTCTCACGTGCAAGGCACGCCACGTTAGCCAGCGACCGCCGAGCTGTTTGGGATCCTCAGAGACTTTACGCAACGCATCTCACTTGTTTCATTAATGAGACGGAAAGAAAGAAAGAAAGAAAGAAAGCGGCAAGCCACTCACTTTGCGTCTACTTTCAATTCTAATTTGCTGGATTGATCGATGCTGAGGATCGCTGTAGTCTGCTCGCTCTGGCCAGACCTTTCTCTCAGGCATAATTTAATTGATTTCCAAAGGGTACGAAGTCGGTAGATGTCGAAGCAGCCAACGACTGCTTAGTTAGTCTATATCGTCACAAATAGAACTGCCCGGTAAACCGTAGGCAGAGAGAGAGAAGAGGACAACAAACGAGGGGCTGTGACAAACTGTTTCGTCGGAGTTTCACCGACTCATCATATATATATATATCGTCAAATAGAACTGCCCGGTAAACCGTAGGCAGAGAGGGAGAAGAGGACAACAAA